TCTACAAGAAGCTCGTACGTCAAAGCCATTTTCACTTACACTAACACTTCAAACGCTTTTCGCTCCACTGCAACTCTCACAATCAAACTTCAACAGAGAACAGTCTCAAAGTTGGAGGTGTCTGCTATGAGCTAAAGCACCGCAGTCTCAAATAAAAGGTATCCTTTAATCGTCCTAGATGCTTTGCCCAGTATTCTCCAAAACTAAATATTTTGTTTGTTAATATTTAACCTTACTTAGCTCATACGGAGATCCTTGGATTACAATGAGCCTAGCGCTTAAATATGCTAGTTCTTTTAAAATCACACTGTAATCTTTGCATACTCATCCCTAGCTCTGTAATAAATTTGCCACACTTTTGAGCTTCTGAGCCTCTGCTTCTGGATAAGTATCGTTTGTGTGGTGGCCTGTATGTAAAAGAGTTTCTCATCTTCCACAAAGCTAAACTTTAAGGCTTTAGGACTAGATACTAAGGACGCGCATGAAATTGCACATTGCCTTTTTCAGAAAAATATCCACATCTGGAAGATTTCTTCTCTCTTGCGAATAAATTAGATTCTTTTCTCCGAATATTAAGTTTACTTTCTTGAGAACGATAACAAGCAGCACCGCAGTATCGCGTACCGAAAACATGCAAAAATTTGAAATAAGCGGAAAGATCTGTACCAGGTTCTCAGTAATTGTATTGTATGAAGGAAAATGATGTATGAAACTTACTCGTAATCTCAGTACATGTGTTATCCAGCAAATGAACGAAAGCAACATGCAACAGCGTCGTGCAGTCAAGTTCATTTTACATAGTTTCTAGTTAATAAGCTTTCGCTCACTGTTAGTGTATGTCAGGAGCCAATGCTATGTCATTGTCAAGTATGGATGTTGCAGATGAGTGTAGCAGAAATTGTCATATTCTCTGTTGGGTTGTTATTCTCGATTCTATCCCATTGTATAGCATGGGCAATTCATACAAAGGTGTCCAGGGTGAGTGCTCATCGTTCTGCTAAAGTGAATTGCCTTGAGTTCATGAATGGAAATTATGTATAGGTTCTCGAAAGATTAAAGGACTGTGACGACAATTTAAAATCCGCTGCAAAGCTAGTAGAAAATAGTTCGGTAAGATGGAAGCATGTGCGAGTATAAAAACTTGATAACACGTTTAGATCACCGGGTCGGTGCTTCAGCTGAGTGCTGAGCAGCTGCGATTCGACCCAGATGTGAACGAGTTTGAAAGAGATGTGGCTGTCCTAATGCTTAAAGATGTGAGCAACTAATGTATAGACCCCAAAATATAGAAATAAAAGACAATTTCAGCCACAACTTACGTATACTGGGGAGACTATGCATCGTGCTAACAAAACTAAATCACCGCTAGGTGCAAAGGTAGGCATTACAAAGAGCAGAAAGTTGAAATAAATATCCTTTAATTCAACCAGATAGGCGGCCGGGAGGTGGGGTTTCTTAGTTAAGGCTAGAGAGTGATCAAAGAGCAT